ACTGTCACGCAAAGTCGCCACGGATCGATTTGTCAACGCGACCTGCGGCCCGCGAACCACCACCTGCCGGATGGAATACAGCTAGGATCCTGCCAGGTTTCTCGAACTCACTGAAATGAGTACGGAGCGCCACGACGTCGCTGTAATGTCCCGCGCGTTCCTTGAGCCGCCGACTGTCGCTCAGCTAGTCAAGACATTCCCCGCTCTGATTGAAGCCGAAGATTCGTCACCGAGTTCACAAAATCTCGCCATTTTCCTCTGACAGCTCTCCCCCTCAGTCATCCACTTTCTTTCTTCCCGACCAACTCACTCAAGCGACGTCCTTTCTGCAACTCAGGAAGTGACTCACGTTCGAAGGAAAACGAATCCGCGAGACGACATCGTCTTTTCCGGCTGATCTAATAAATTTCGATATTCAGGTCACGACACGGCAGACGATGCAAGCAAGAAGGGCGGCCGTGCGAACGCCCAAGGTAAATCAATCGCACTTCTTGTGCCCTGCGAAGAGTAGGACAAGCATCGAGACTCGAACCCGTGATCACTTCATCATTGTTCCCCTTTTATTTTGTTCAGTGCCCATAAATTTCGACGCAGCTTTGACTTCGTCCACTCTCACGAAATAATGGCGGTCGCCCGCTCCTCCTCCCCCGCCCCCTTTCAAGCGTCGTCTCGCACTTTCGTTCTTTATCGCTCGTGTCTTTCGCAATCTGCGCCCTCATTTCGCCCGTTTCCGCGTCGCCCTGGCGCTGATCAATACCCCCATTTCTGCACCTGCCACCTGCTACAAGAACCCACTGTTCCCTCCAGAACACACACACGCACGCACGCACACATCGATTGCTGCTGTGACTTTCACCAGTTTCTACTTCTCCGACTTCTGAACGTCCTCAAGTGTTCGTTGCCTTCAAAACACGATCGCCTTGGTCAGACGCGTAGACATGCCAGTTTAACATCTTAACGTTGATAATAACGGGCTGAGAATTACAGGATCTATTGATCCACCTTGTGTCATACTGCAACGTGTGCGCTGAGTCACAATCCGCCATTATTGTGTCGGCACGACCGCAGTGCCGTCTTAACGTTCCGCGCTTACACGTGAATCCCCGCATACCGAGCACACAAACGAATGCTTCGGACTCTGAGCCCTCACTCGTGTATGTGTTCAAAACTGTTTTTGTTGGCCCAACAAACAGCGTTTGCCGAGGCCCTTACTCAAAGTACGCAGCTGACGGGAAGGTTACGTGATCATGAACGCCTCCAACCGCGCCGTTTACACGAGCAACACTGCTCACCCTCGACATCAGCCTTGAAATTACCTTTCAGAGGAAGCCACCCTTAACGACCCGCTTATAACGAAGGAACCGTTACCTGCTCGGAGCGTCTGTCCGGCTCCAGCAGAACGTCCCCGTCTCCAGA